ATAGGAAGGCATATATATATATATATATATATATAAAAGACATAGTTAGAATAAAATATTTCAAACAAAATAATTATGGTAATCTGTTTCTAACGTATGCTGGAATAGTTAGAAAAAGCAGTTTTGCAGTTGGTTAGTGTGTCAAAAGTCATGTTGTGCTATTATGATATGAAGGGCCTTGGGCTAAAAAAATGGCTACATCTACAAGCATAAATATTAATATCTTATTCATCATAAAGATATACAGGTTATATATAGATTATACTTTATAACTCTTTTCAGCAATTCAGAACCTGGAGAAACAAAAGATTTCAACTTTATGAACTAATGTCTTATTTACTCTTGTCTAGTTTAATTTACCTTATTACCAGGGTGGAAATAAATTCTTCCAATATAATATTATTTTCATATTTATGGACTCAAATGTATTCTCGCCCTTCAAGTCATTGTATCTTTGTCTTTTTGGAGAACTGTAATCATTCATTTTTAGTAAAATGTATGAAATATCAGGTTTGTTAAAGGAATAACTAAACAAGTTTCACCTATTGGTGATTCAAAAATAAAAAGGAAATAAAGAATCAAATGTATTTAGAATGTTTTACTTTTCATTTCAGTTTTGTGTTTCTTCAGAATAAAATACTCCTTAAGGTACAAAGGTTAATAAAAATAATACTTAAAAGTTAGTGTCCTTATTTATACCTTAAAATGGAGATTAGCAGTTCCTTCAACATCAGAGTATAAAAGTATAAGGCAAATGCACAGTTAAATTTTCTTCTGTGATTACTAGATAGATCATTACAATGAAGCCAATCCTCATAGATAAAACTGAAATTGTTTCACCACTTTCACAAAAATTACATCTATCTCCTTTTGCTTATTGTCAATATATAAAAGGCAGTTTGCATGGCCAACTGAATTCACTATGATTGAAGATCCCACACCTGGCATCAATAGTCACTGGTGGGCTATTTCATCAAATAATAGCTATTGAGTACTTTATGGGTTGTCAAAAAAGTCATGATGCATTTTTGCATAGAAAAATATATGTCATGACTTTTTTTTTTTTTTTTGAGAGGTTTTTGCCATAGGGCACTTGCGCTCACCTGACAGAGGGAGACAGAGAGACAGAAAGTGAGAAATCACCACCCCTCCCCAGGGTGATGGCCATGCCGCAATCCCTTCTCCTCCATTCTCCTCTAGGGATCTTGGGCACGCACGCACACGCGCCCAGTGTGAGTTTTAAGCCACCAGGTCCAGGACTCGAACCGCAGTCGACTACATGGGAGTCCAGCGACATAGCCATTACGTTAACTGCTGGTCCCTGTCATAACTTTTTTGACGATCTAATATTTTGAGATCCAAGGCCATAGTAATCAGAGATACTTATAAATCACATTTGCTATCACAAACAACTCCTAACACTTGATAAGGCACTTTAAATACATAACAGAACAATACTCTCTAGTAATAAAGCTTTTAACCCCAGTAGCTGTTGATTTTTCTTTGGATACAAATAAAGAAAACATACACTTACATGTAATTATTTCAGGAATGTAATTATTCTATTAAAGGTAATGGTTAATTGCTGGATACCAATGAGCATGGTTACATTTGCCTTCTCTAAAAGAAACTTGACTGTTGTCATTCATTGTGAAATGGCTTGTAGCATTTACCAGGCTAGATGGCATAGAGAAGTTATACCTATAAAAACCATAAGAAGAATGGAAAGAGCAACCAAGTGCTTCCTGGGCAATGGAGTTTTGTGGGAAAATGTTTCCATGTGTCTGTAATCCATAGAACATTTGATTTGCAGAATTAGGTGCTTGTAGATATTGCCCACTGAAGTCTTTAGATGAACCACTTTTTGAATTGGCAACCCCCAGAGAAGATAACATGGGCACTTCCATCATGAGTGAGGCTAAAGACTGAGAACTGTTGCTGTTTGCTAGCCTTTCAGGAGCAGGTAATACAAGACTTGGTTGCCGTCGCCAAGTATTAGTTGGACAAATCTTGTAGCAAAGGGGTACATTGATATTGTGAAGGTATGCCTCTGGACAGGGTATTCCAAAGGAGCTTGAAGGTAAATGAAACGTAGGTGGAGAGCAAGGTGGAGAAATTAAGGAGTTCAAAGGAGAAGGAGCCCCTCTGCTAGAAGTCACTGGAGATGAGCCACTGCTTCCACCTGTAAATGACAATTCAGTCAATGAACAATGAATTTGATATTTCTACTGAAGCAGTAATCATATTGATCACCATCCCTGTTTTATTTATTTATTTTTAAAAATTGCCATAGGGTGGGTGTGCTCATCAAAGAAAGAGAGAGAGAGAGAGAGTGAGAGAGAGAGCACCCCTCCACACCCCATGGGGAAAGGTCACTTTGCAATCCCTTCTCCTCTGCTTCTCCCTTCTTTTGGGATTTTGGGCATGTATGGACACATGCTCAGTGTGTTTTTCAAGCTGTCAGTTCTGGACTCGAACTGCAATACAAAGCTGGCTACATGGGATCCAGCTGCCTTAAGTAACTACCATGCCACCAGCTGTATTCCTGTTTCATTCTTAAATTGGCTTTTCTTGCACATTCACAGTTCTTTTAGCATTTTGAGAAAAGTACATGCTAATTTCTCTGAAGTGGAATATAGTATCTTTACTACTATCACTGCTACTTTTAGCACTACTACTATGTATTATGTATTGAGTATTCGCTCTGCTCAAGAACTGTATGTAGTAGGCACTTGAACCACATTTGGGTGTTATCAGTTGAAGATATTTTGACCGATGGGACTGGGGAGAAATGTTCACATATTGAAATGCTCACATTGTAAGCTAAACAATGTGAGTGAATGTATATACAAAAATAAATAAATACATTTATTAAAAAGAATAAAAATTAAAATTAAAAAAGAATTATGAAAGAAGACCAATAATAGTTGATTATGTCTTACAGATACAAGCTAGATTTTTTAACTTTAAAACAATTTGCTAAAATATGTAGCTAAGTAAACTGAATGAATTGATTGTTATTTGGAATTCTATACACATCTTCAGTCTGATAAAACATCATTGTATATGAAAATAATCTTGCATAAATAAATACAACATATTTAAAAGCATTAGATTTTTTTCTTATATGAATATCATGAACAAGGAGCCTTACGTGGTACACCATATTAAGAGTAGAAGATAATTTTGCAAGTTAAGAAAACCAAAGGAGAATGAAAATGTTCATACCAATGATGTCCAGTCATCTTTTATGGTTGCTTAGCACCTACTAAAAGAAGGGATAACTAAGAGGTCCAGTGAGGCCAGCAGGTGGGGTGGTGGCCAAACATGGGATCATGGAGCAGAGACACTCACACTGGGTGAATGTCCATGCATGCCCAGAATCATGAGAGGAGATTGGAGGAAAAGGAATTGCAGCATGGCCATCCCTTCTGGGGACTGATTTCTCATTTTCCCTCTCTGTCTCTCCAGTAAGTGCACATGACCTATTGAAAAAAAAACTTTTTTTAAGAAGTCCCACAACATCTAGATTCTAAAATTTATTTCTGTAACTGTTTGAATTTAATAAAACAATTGGTTATTAAAGTTTATTTCTTTCTTTTTTGGTGTTGCTATCTTTACCCTTAAGTATTTTGTGTATGTAGATATAGCCTAGTCCATTATCAACAGGGTGGCAAATATTTTCTATAATAAAACATTAGAACTGTCTTTTTTAATTGATACCCCTTGCTTTGCAATTTGAAAGCATTTAAATAATTAAGAAAACTGTGCATTAAAAAAAGAAAACTGTATTTTGAATGATCAATGATCATCTAACTTTTTCCTTTATTAATGAATATTGTATCAATATGTGTACTTTTTAAAAGTATATTTCCTTGATGCTATTACTTAAGCGACCCTAAAATATATTTTCATATTTTCTATACACCTCCTTAAAAAACATCAATGTGCTGATCAGTGAAATATTTCGCCAAATGGTGAGGCTTTATTTCTTCACATTTCAGCTTGTTGTTATGGCATCATGTACAACTCAATTTAACTATAATTCTGATGATTTGATCTGTAATGGTAACCCTGAATTAATGTTCAAAGACAAGGAACTTTAACAAAGACATAAGGAATAAGAAAAATTCCATGTTGCTTGCAAATGAAAATTATTCCATTTATTGTTAAATATCAGAGTAAATGAAGTATATATTCTTCTCCCATAAAGTCAGTATTATCTAATTACTATTATTAATACTTTAGACATACTGAGAACAAATAGCTTGCAAATATTTTTAAATTGCAAATATTTTTAAATGATGGTGGCAATTAAACTTTAATAATTTAGTATTATTTCCAACTTTTACTTTCTCCACTCATAAAAAGAAAAATTAGAGCTAAATGATAATATAATTTAATGGAAGTCATTTTAACATGTGTTAAAAGTTTCTCATAATGCATACAATACTAAGTTTAATAGCTAACCTATTTGCAAATCAGTCCACAAAGGTATCACTGACAAATCCTAAAGAATATGCAATATGCAATAGTGAGTTGCTGAAGAATACAGATGAGATTTGGAAATCTCAGAGTATAAGTTAAGAAGACAAACATCAGAATGCCCACCATTACCACAGCTCTAAACTCTTCTGTCATATCAGCTCCCTTCCCTTTTTGCCTCTTATCTCCCCATTGAGGTAAATAAACAACTAACTTTTTATAAACACACTTTTTCTGGCACATACTTATCTTGCTGTGTAGTATTTAATACAGGAGTTTTGAATGTCATTTTGTTAATATGTAAAAATAAGACTGAAGGTTATAAGTTTTCTTACTTTGTGTGTCTGCACCAAAGGTTTTAAAATCCAAAATGAGAGAAGGCCTCCATGGGTAGGTCTCTAAAAGCCCATCCAATACACTCCTAAAAAAAGAGATTTAACTTTAAGCAACCCCAGAATGCAATTCTTGAAAATAAAAATTTATGTAAAAACTTAAGGGATTCGTTTTTGTCACATGTTTTAAGGTATCTATCTAAAATTCTTTTCTTTTATAATTAGACTTCTGAATAAAATTCAGTCAAATTCAGGGTTCTCAAATATGCAATATTTTTAAAAAGTGGGTAGGGAAGAAAGTGGAGAAAAATCAAGATTTTGGAGACAAGTATCTGGGTTCCCTTTTTACTAGTTATAAACCTTAGTGCTTCTGAGTCTCTGTGCCAGTTTCTTTCTTTTTATATCTGTGAAAAGGATTATAAAAATATTAGGTGTGACTGTTATGTTGTTTACCTGTTTCTCCCAGGATCTCTAAATCCTTTAGCAAAAGGATTTCTGTCTATTTTCAATTTGGTAATCTGTGGATTCAAAGAGAAAGAAAGATAAAGTCAGTACTCTCATTACAAGACTGTCACCATAATCTATAATAGTTACAATAATCACAAAAGACATGGAAACCTACAATATAACACTTGAAATAAATGCAAGCATTTATTAAGTCAAAAGTGGAATGACCATCACCTTTATCTTACTGTCTTCTTTAATTTGCTCTCATTTCTAATGCACATTATCAAACTTGCCTTTATGACAATGCAATAAAATTATGATATGTTTTAATTGGGGAAAATGCAATTCATAGAGAACAGCTTGCCTCTATTTCAAAGTCCCTCTGGGGACATTCCCCCTTATCTCAGACATGGCCAGCTTTACCTGCTGGTTTTGGTAAGCTGTCACCGTGGTGAACTCAGTTTCTTTAAAGGAGAATGTTTTAACTCCTTCAGCAGGCAAGGACTGAATCTGGGACAGGTCAACCCTGGTGTCCTGCTCCATCACGTGCACACGGGGCTTGTACTTATGCATGGACTGTAGAATGATCTGGAGGAGAAATGATCAAATGCTGACACACAAAACAGCTTCCCCTTCCCAACATAGGTCCTTTCTCATGACCACCCCCAACACCATGCACACACAAAGACAAAAGTGAGACTAAAGGAGGGAAGCTCAGGTACCCACACACAAAGACCTTTTTGGTATTATCTGGCCCCAGACAGAAGCCCTCAGGACTAGTGCTATACCAGGAGCAAGGCTCCCCAGCGATGGGCAGCAGTGATTCCATTTCCAGATTACAGTGAAGTATTCCCTCCCACTCTCCCTGACCAGGCATTCTGACTTAAACAGGTCTATTTTGGTCCCCAAACTACAGTTCACTATTCCCAACTGTCCCACATCTCAGATGCCAAACAAAGATTTCAGGAGCCCTAGGCTGGGGTACTTTACTCACAAGTCCAGAGCTTGGACAGTTCCTAAAAAGCACAACATGGGCATCTGGGAGAAATCTCCTTGTCCTCTCCAGGGTGACCCATAGGAAGAATCTTGGCACCTCCCTTCTCAGGACAAAGAATCACATTCACATACGTGGCCTTTGTCATCCATCTCATTGTTGGTGAGTTTAACGCGATCAAAGCTGATTATCTGCCGCATCCAGGTCTCTCCTGAGCAGGGCGAGTCCGGGTGAACATAGAACCTGGTTGTCATGCATGAGTGGTCTGTATTTCCCGCTACCATCCACTGCGAGCTGTGATACACATACCTGAAAAGGTACGGAATGTGGCATTAGGTGTATCCTGCTAAAGTTAGGAGTATGGGAGGCAGGCTGCGAGATTGCAATCCTAAAACACTAGCCCAAAGTCATCCGCTGATCCTGAAGGCAAGTGCTAAAAGATCCAACTTGACTTCCAAACAGTATTGAAGGGCAGAATACAAACTAAATAAGCTATGTCACCAAAATATAATGAAGTGCCAACTTGAGTAAAATGTCATGGAATTTCCGAGCCTGTTTTTTTGTTTGTTATTTAATCGCCTCACAGAAACGACAGCAGAAATCGATCTTTTACACGGCAGAGACACAAGCTTCAGGCGAGAAGTGTTGGGGAAGTGTCGGGCAAGACGCGGAGGATTTGAGTGTGTCTGTCCAGCGTAGTCACCAGTCATCATTGAAGCCCTTTCGCCAAAAAGGCTTCGCATCAGAAAATCCCCAGGAACTCGCCCCACTCAGCCCAGCGGCGAACTTTCTCAGTTTTCAGTCTCAACCTCTTAGTTGTGCGCAGGATTATTTCCAAACCAGCGGCAGCGGCAGCGCGCCAGAAGGCAGCAGCTTCGTTGGCCGTGCGCGAAAAGCCAGCAGCTTGTTCTGCTGTTTGGGGGCTGCGGCCACAGCAGGCTCAGGACCCGCGCTTTCTTCTTGCGCTCAAAACCAGAACCTGGTACTGAGGCGGGCTGTCTTCTTGGAGGCGTGGACACCCTTCTCTGGGTCGAATGTGCACAGCCAGAGCGTGATAAACTCTGGAAACACTCCCCAGAGCCCTTGAGATAAAGGGCAAGAGGTTAGAAAAGTGCTATGAGGCTGCTAGCCCAGTTGGTCTTTTAGCTTTACAATACCTTTCTTTAGTCTGCTCTAAAAGGAGGCTTAAAGAGAAAAGGGCTCTCAAACCTATTGGGACCTGGCCACCACCGCCGGTTCAATTAAAATATTTTAAATAAAGAGAGAAAAGATGGGCTTTAATTAAAATGTTTTCAAGAGAGAAAAAAGATGGGCCTAGGCATTCTACTGGCGGGGCTACCCTTTTGTGGCACATTAAGACATCACTGCCAAGCAGCACAGAACCCACAACAGGGTAGGTCCTAGAAGCCCTGCTACCCACACTGGACTTTGAGAATTTCTCCCCAGTTTCCTTCAAACTTTTTCCTTCTTGGATACCTGAGCCCACATCCTCAACACTTTACATAGCCAAAGCCAGAGCAGTGGATAGGGGACAGTCCTGGAATACATTGAAATGCCAGTTGGCACCTGCATTTCAGGAGGAGGATAGAGAGTTGAATAAGCATGCTCTCTACCTTCACTCTGAATCCCTATTTGAGTGAGAACATCCAACTCACAAAGCCCACAAGAGAGCAATCCCCTACATGCTAGTCTTTCCGAAATACCACATCAGATTTGGGGTCTAAAAGTCAGAATCTCTGTCCCCAACTGAGTGGGGGGTCCCCCGTTACCTGTAGCGTTTAGAATCCACTGGCACTACGTCCATGGCCACAGAGTACTGCTTTCCTGGCTCCAGCCCTTTCACCTTGACTCGAACAGAGGGGAACATTCGCCTATGAGAGAGAAAAATAGGGACTGACCCTGGAGCTTTTAGAGATGTTTGGAAGGGGAAAGGATTGTGAACAAATGCTGACTCCAGTGGAAAGTCAAGGGACTCAAAATTCCCTTCCCATTCTATGACAGATTCAGGGAATGGCATTTGCTACATGAAGAAAATTGTTAGTTTGCATGCTTAATTGAACAATTCCAAGATTTGTGAGAGTTGCAGAATATCCTCACCATAAGGGTACTACTCTCACCCACTACCATAACAAAAAGTTATAGAAGAGAATATAGGAGAGGAAAACCTGGGCCCTTCCTTACAGTGAGAAAGGCTGAAATTAGAAAGGCTCTCAAATCACTCAGCTGCTATGGAAGTGCTGCCCCACACCAAAAGCTGTCTGAAGGAAAGGTCCACTTCAAAATGGTTTGGGACAGGGACTGTGGGCTGAATGCCCTGTGAAGTGGGGTATTGCCTACTATGTCTGTGAAGCTTTAATAGAGAGGTCTGCACACATCCTAAGGACTTGGGGTTGACTTGGTACCTGCCTCACAGGTCTGATTTTCATCATGTACTCAGCAGGCAGGAGCTGAGAGAGTGAGTTCTTTGAGTCCTGGTATGCAGGAAAGGAACAATGAGACACTTAAGTGGGGCCAGATACATCCTACAACATCCATTGATTAAAGGATGGTAACTTCCTAATATCTGGCAGGGAATTTGGGGGGTAGAAGGAAGAAACCAGTGCATAAAACTCCACATCTTAGGAGAAGTACATTAAGCGCATAATGTATGTGACCATTGTGAACAGCTTAGGCAGAACCAAACCTGCCCGCCTTGGTAATGATCATCTCAGTCCCAATGTCATGGAATCTCTTCCACAGCTCGGATCCTTGAAGTTCCACTTGGATAATATCTTTCTCTTTCAGACTTTTGAGCTGGTTGTCGTTACCACTGCCTCCACCAGAGCCGGAGAGCGCAGTTGTTGAGGGCTCTGTCTTGGGTGGCATTTCTGCAGCACACAGAGATGTCCAGTGTTTAAGGAGCTCCTCTCTGAGCAGGCAGGCCTACCCAGGGAAACCTGACAGCTGATCCCCAAGCTCCCCACAACACCCTCTGTGGTCCCCTAACGGAGAGGAGAGAGGGGTCCAAGTCGTACTCTGTAAAAGGTGCAATTTTCTTTAGATTTGCCCATCCTCACTCTCCCTGAGATTTTCCTATCAGAGTCTGGATCCCTTCAGGATCCTGCCTCCTACCCTGAGAAACAGCCACCTTTTTGGCTCAGGCTCTTTGGGCTTGCTGGGGGGGAGGGGGACCCGAGAACTTTACTTCTCCATAAATATATGGGAATCCTCCCTTTCACTGTAAAGGAACCGTAGTACTCTGCGTGCTACTCAGAGACTCTGAAACCTCCCCTACAGGGAGGTGGGTGGCCTAAGTGTTCTTCGGCCCCATCCTGACTGTCCCGTTGGGCCCGGACGTCCTGGGGTAGGGTTAGCCGCCCTGCCCTCCCAAAGCGCCGCAAGCTAAGCAGAGAAACACAGACCCAGCAAGCGCATGCGGAGGCGGGCCCAGATCCTTGGGGCTACGTGGGGGTACTTACCGAGCTGCTCATTCTTCTCTGCAGCGTTGTTCTTTCTCTCCTCCTCTTCCTCTCCGCCCTCATTCTCCTGAAGCTCAGACTGCTCCTGCTCTCTTGTGTCTTGTAGTTTTCTTTTGCTGGGTCTCCCCACCAAGGCTTCCACAGAGAAGGCGTGCGCCCGACAGCTCAGAGCCATCCCTGAAAACTCAGAAGGGAATGTGCACAGCAGTTTCGATCTGAGCTGGGTTAGGGAGTAAGGAAGAAGGAGGGCTCAAAGGATAGGCAAGGGAGGGAAAGCGAGGTGGGGGGGGGGATTCGAATAAATTATTTCTATATCTATATTCAAAGAAAAAAATAGCCGTGTGTGTGCGTGTGTAAATTTTATATATACACTTTTTTCTTCTTTGAATAGGCAAAATGAAAGGAAAAAAGATCAAATTGAACTCTAAGTCCTCCAGAGTCTACTCCCCCTTGCTTTTGTGGTCTCCTCCCTCCCAGTGGACATGTGCGGACCATCAGTCCTTAAATCCCTTATTCCCAGACCCTGCAGAGTGCAGAGATTGACAAGCTTGAGCGTTTTAGGGAGCGGACCTGCCACCAATGGCAGCTCAGGCCGCTGGGATTGGGAGATACTGTTGCATCCCACTGAGTGAATACCCTGCTGCTCACAGTCTCCACTGTTTGTTTTGGAAACTGTTAGAAGCATGAAAAAACACTGTGAGTGACACTTCAGAATCTGACAGGCAGTGAGGGGGGAGTAGCAGGCCAGGAGTTGGTTGGAAAGGGGCTCCAGATAGGCATACGTAGAGGAGAGAGGAGAATGAGACATAAGGTTACTGTTTTAGATTAAATTGTAAAACTCAAAGACATGGGAAATAATTGCCCACGAGGGGCCACTTTTCCAACAAGAGTGCAAATACAATTTAACCAGATCCAGAGAAGTATATTAAGGTCTTTTGCTTTCCAGTAAAGGCACTGGGTGCTGTCTCCGCTTTCTGGGCTGGTTAACTCTGCAGTTGGAGTCTCAAACTGGAAGGGTCTTTGTGCCAGTTTGTCATCTCTCTCCTGGTAGGGAGCCTCAGGAGAGGGTGATCAAGAAGCTCCCAAATAAGATCAGAACAAACTTATGCCTTCAAGCCTTGCATTAACTGGATTCCAATATTCCCACACATAACCTCTGACAGAACTTAATCAGCATACACAGCCTAAGTACATAAGGGCCACCAGCAGAGCAACAACTTAACCTTTGCTCCCAAGGATGTACATACTTTAAAGTGTTGAAATGAAATAATTTTTAAAAACTTATTACTTAATTTTATTTATTCATTTTAAATTGACAGAGAGAGACACACAGAGAGAAAGAGAGAGAGGGGAAATGAGAAAACAAGCCACAAGGTCCAGGACTCAAACCGTGGTCTGCCATGTGGGAGTATCCAGCACCTTAACCACCACACCACCTGCTGGTCCCCGAAATCAAATAATGGATTCCAGTGTTTCTTGAAATATATTTCTGGGCTGCATTTTACTTTTTTAAAAATTGGTGTCAGGGAGAGATTTGTCTGCCACTTCCAAGGGGCATATTTATGCACAGAAATATGAAATGTTTGTCTGTGTGCATGTGATTTTGTCATACGCATTTAATAAAAAATAAAAACCCAGATGCTCCTGGATTCTTTTGCAAACTACAACTTTTTTTCAGAGATTTTTGAAATAGGGTATGTATACTTACTGGAGAGATACAGAGAGACAGAGACATAGAAAGCAAGAAATCATCCCCCCTCAGGGAGGATGGCCACACCACAATCCCTCTTTTCCATGCTCTCCTAGGGATTTGGGGCATGCATGTACAGACCTCTGGTGTGAGTTTCAGGTCTCTGGACTCTAACTGCGGTCAGACACGTAGGAATGCACTTTAACCTCTGCACCACCTTCTGGCCCTACAGACTGCATCTTAACTAATGACATTTACACATTTCTAGAAAGGTTCTCCTCTACTACATTTGTCCAAAGATCAATTAAAGCCAATCCAAATCTATTTAAACAAGATGGTACTTGAACTAACTTATAGTATCTCCATACTGGAGTTTGAGAACAAAAGATTTTTGTGGTCTTTTGCAGCTGTTTAGAGACAAGTGATCCCTGCCTAGATTTTCCATGTGATGATAGTGGTAGTGGTGGTATATTCAGCCATAGGGAAGAGATCTCCAGGCAATTGTGTATGGCTTTAAGCACTTGAATAGCACAGAAAAGGGTTAGTTACAGCTTGTATGCTGCTGAAGGGTCTGGTTCAATAACTAATTATCTAGTACTCACCATTCAGAACTAGGAAAAACCCTGTCCCTATCTTAGAGAGGCAGAGAGAAGCTCAGAGGACAAGGCCAATTTCAGTGTAAAAGGACATTGGATTAGAAAACAGTCAGATCTGGATATGTTCTTTGTCACATTTCCATAGGCATTTTTTTTTCTACATCCATGAGACGGAGGTATTTGTCTATTACCTCTTACTCAGAAGGCATATACCAATAAATATGTTTTTAAATCAATTGCACATTCTCAGCTAAAAGACACAGCTCAGAAACAGAAAAGTCAAGAATGTAAATAATGGGCCAGCTGATGGTTAAGGCAGCTGAATTCCACATGGCCGACTTAGCAGTTTGAGTCCCAGACCAATGGCTTGAAAAATACAACAGGTGAATGTGAGTGTGTGCCCAAAATCTGGAGATAATGGAGGAGAAGGAAGATTGCAGTGTGGCCATACCTCCTTGGAGATGCTTTCTCACTTTCTCTTTTTCTCTCTTACACATTCCCTATAGCAAACTAAAAAACAAACAAAAAATCCAAAGAGTATAGATACCAGAGATTTCATAGGACGGGGTGGGAGGGAGGGACTCAGGAAAAAAAAAATTTAACAGACACAGGAATGTAAAGTTCTCTGTCAAAAATTATATAAATGGTAATATCTTTTACTTAATTGATATATACTGAATGCATGCTTTGAGAAAAAAACATTGTATGCTGTAAAGATGTACAATGGCTAAATGTAAATTTTAAAAGGAGTTCATTTGTTAATTTTAGAATGTTAATCACCATGTAAAATTTGCATTAATATCTCCTAATATGAGTATGTTTTTCCCTTTGAACATTGGCTGACCTTATTGATAAAAGACAGGATATTATCTTGTAAAGAAAGGAAAAGCTTTTCTTGGTGGGTTTCTCTGTAAATATAAAACAAAAGATGTTTGTTGCAATGTTTATGCTAGCATTCAAGACTATCTACTGTATTAGATTTTTTAAGTCCAGGAATTAGCAGATCTTGAGATAGAAATTCCTTTCTTAGGAGAAACATCTTACTTATATTTATCACATGCATATAATTTAGGCCTCCAGAACTATTTTTAATTTTTGTAATCTAAATATTTTTCATTACCATTTCAAATCTGATGACATGACAGAGAGAAATGTAGTTCAGTTCACCCTAATGTGTGCTTGACTAAGGAGTAGTTAATTCTTATAAACTAGTATCTGAGAGGAAAAAATATCACCTATCTCAGAACCAGCTTTGCAACCTGTTCATAGGGCTGCCAGTTACAGGGAGGCTGAGTAATACACTAATGCCAGCAATTCATTCTTTACAGCTGAAAGTCTCTTTCGAGCAATGTCTATGTTTTATCCAGTAACACCCATAAACTTTCAACCTGTAAAGGGGCAGTGGAACATGTAGAAAGAGGCTCTGGGATCCACAGGTGCACACATTAGAATACATAATTTTTATTAAGTTTGCTGATAGGAAAATTCTAACAGTAAAATGTTGGTTTTGAATTGTGCCAGAAACGTTTCAACTGAAGACACAGTGAGAATTCATCATTTGAAGGAAAAACTGAATTCATGGTTGACACAAATGAAATCAATTCCACATCTATGGGGAAAAAGAGAAGATAGGAGTGCCCTAAAAGATATATTGGGGTACAGCAGATGGCATAATTGTTATGTTGCTGAATTCCCATGTAGTTGACGGTGGTTCGAGTCCCAGATCTGGTGGCTTAAAATTCATACTGGACGTAAGTGTGTGCATGCCCAAAATCCAAAGAGGAGAATGGAGAAGGAACTGTGGCATGGCCATCTCTCCTGGGGGCTTATTTCCCACTTTCTATCTCTGTTTCTCCAGTCAGCATACACACCCTATAGCAAAAATCTCTTTCTAAATTGTTTTTTAATAAAGAAGAGGTATATGGTTTATTAGAGTTCTTGTTGAACATGAGATCTCAACCTGTTTTAAGTAGCTAGAAAACAATTCAAATAGCTAATAAAAATCCCATTTTTAAAAATTACCAGAGGGTGTATGCATTCACCAGAGACAGAGAGAGAGAGTGAGTGAGAGGGAGAGAGAGAGAGAGAGAGAGAGAACATTTTCTAATGGGGCATGGTCACTTCATGATGGTTTTTTCCTCCATTCCTCTATCCTGTCAGGATTTGGGTCATGCAGGTATAAGCACCCTGTGTGTTTTTCAAGCCACAGGGACAGTATTCAAGCTGCAGTTGGTTATGTAGAATAGGGCTCACTCTGCAAACTACTTAACCACTATGCTATGATAGACTGGCCAGAAAATTCTAATATTTTATTAATAGTTGTAAATAGGTGTGTGTACTAACACATGCATTAAACAAAGTGGGCCCTACCACTGCTTCTTTTGAAGTGTATGTGCATAGAAGCATATATTCAGAATTAAGTTACAGTATATGAAAATGTTACACTTCCCAGAAACCTATGACATGTGAAGGACAAAGGTTCAAGACCTCTCTAGCTTTCCATATAGGCAATATGGATTATCTGAGGAAACATTTATGTTTAAAAGGAAATAAATCTGCCTGGTGGGGAAAAAAATTCTTTTGTGTTTTGCAGTGCTTATTAACTAAAGGATTGATGTCAAATTCATTTTGAGGGATTTCAAAACCTACTTTAACTTTATAAGAGAAGTTGTAAAACAAGTTAAAGAAATCAATAAATATTTCATATTTAGAAAATATACATGCATATATAAAGTATAAATAAAATAAAATAAATGTTTTGAGACCAGTTGGTTACCTAACGTCACATTTACACAGAAACACATCACTTCTTGATAGAAATTGTTCCCTCCAATTATTATTCTTCTCTGCCTTCCTTGATCTTTACTTACCATGACTAAGATAGTTTGG